TTCTAAAGCGAAACTTATACTTGGACCAGGAGGCAGTCATCAGAACAGAGCAAGGGAACACTGCATGGTTCAAAATTGGGAAGGGCGTACGCCAGGGATGCATCCTATCTCCATACATTTTCAACCTATATGCAGAACAGATTATCCGGGAGTCTGGGCTCTATGAGGAGAAGTGTGGGGTCAAGATTGGTGGACGATTTATCAACAATCTGCGTTATGCGGATGACACAACCCTGCTGGCTGAAACTGAGGAGGACCTGAAGCGCCTGCTGCAGAGTGTCAAGGACTGCAGCCTACAATATGGATTGAGGCTCAATGTCAAGAAGACAAAGATTCTCACCACTGGACCAATTGGCAGCATCAGGATGGATGGTGAAGAGTCTGAGATTGTACACAGCTTTAGTTTGCTTGGCTCCATAGTCAACAGTCTTGGCACCAGCAGCCAGGAAATTAAAAGGCGCATTGCCATGGGAAAGTCTGCTGTTAGGGACCTCTCCAAAGTGCTGAAGAGCAGTGGTGTCTCTCTGGAGACTAAGGTGCGTCAGATACAGGCCATGGTCTTCGCAATCACTTGTTATGCATCAGAGAGTTGGACAATGACCAAGGAGGATAGAAGGAGAATTGATGCCTTTGAGCTGTGGGAAGAGTATTGAGAATACCATGGACTGCTAGGAAAAGAAACAGATTTGTCCTGGAGAGGGTTAAACCGGGTGGCTCCTTGGAGGCAAGGATTCTGAGGCTCCATCTAACTTACTTTGGACATGTTGTGAGGAGAGACCGGTCCTTAGAGAGAGACATCATGCTTGGGAGGGTGGAGGGACAGCGCAGGAGAGGAAGGCCCTCTATGAGGTGGATTGATTCAGTGACTGGGATAATTGGGATGGGAGTGTCAGAGACAGTGCGATTGGCACAGGACAGAGCGGAGTTTAGGGCTGTTGTACATAGGGTCGCTATGAGTCGCAGGCAACTCGACGGCACATAACAACAACATATGGCCTTTATCTTCAGCCACTATTATCTATTAAAGTATGTACTAAGAGAGCTCTTGTGGCCTAGTGGTAAGAAGCTGCACCGCAGCTTGAATCCACTTGCTTCTCTGCTGAGAAAGATGGGCAGTCTCCTCCCGTGCCATTAAACTGCCTCTGAAAACCTGCCAGAGGGTCAACTTTGGTTCTGTTCTGACTCCACAGTACACAGCAATAATTATCTATATACTGACTTTCCCCTCTCTTTTCCTTCCCCTCCCACACCTGGTAAACCAGCAAAGAACGTGTATAAACCCCTCTAGCTTTTTCTTAATAGTGGATTCATGTCATATCTGCCCTTTAGTGACTGAATTAGGCCACACGACACAATTTTCTCCAGATTCATCTAGGTTTTTCAGGGTTTTGAGAATTCATTATTCTTTATTTGTTTTAAAATATGAAACATTTCACGAATTTGTGTGTCATCCTTGTGCAGGGACCATGCTAATCTCTGTATCATTCCAATTTTAATATATGTGCTGCTGAAGTGAGCATGACAGTTCATAATATGTAACATTCTATTGTCTAAGTACCAGCCACAGTTTGTAGAAGTAGTTTAATTGTAAAATTTCATGACTGAAAAATTTCCCATTTTACCCAACTTGAGGGGCACAGTTCAGTGTCATTAAGCACTGCCATCATGCTGTGTACCCATCATCACCACCAAACTCCCAAATTTGACCATCCCAAAGACACTCTGCCCTATGAAGTAATAATCATGCCCAGTTGGTCTCTTCACAGCTTTGCTGTAGGGCAGCATAGGTTAAAATCTTTTCAGAAGCAGACTGCCACATCTTTCTTCCTTGGAGTGGCTAGGAGGTTTGAAACACCAACCTTTTGGTTAAGCATTTGAGTTCTTTATCCACTGTGTCTCCAGGGATCCTGTCTCAGACCAGGAGGCTCTTTGAAACTCTAATTTACTGCCTTTTTCTCTAAATTTTCCTATTCTGGGATAAATTATATAAGAAGATCATATAAAATCTGTCCTTTTGTACCTTTCTTCCTTCTTTCAGCATCATGTTTTCTTTGGTACATTTATTTAAATGGCTTAGGCCGTTTTTGAGGGAAGTCTAAAATTTATACTCGTAGCGTAGGTGAGAACAGGCTGGGAACTGCAGATTTTTGTTAGAATCTTATTAGAGTAGAAACCTCTACTTTGCTTCTTCCCACCGCACCACCCCCCCGTTTGGCTTTCAGTGAACGTTTACAGAACACACAGGTTTTCTGTCTAGCCCTTCATACATTTTAGGACATTAGTTATACTACTTACAATGTAAGCACACGCTCTCCATTTCCTCCTCATGATTTTCATTTCCACTAATCATTTTCTTATCCCTTCCTGTCCTAAACTTTATCTTTCATGGTTGGTTCTGAGGATCAGGATCGTGTCCCTCCCTGGTATTATCAGTCCTCTTAAGAACCTGCCTATTTGGCTAAAAGTTGCATCAAAGGAAAATGAATCTGTGCCAGGCTTCACTGAAAGGTGACTAAGGGCCAGAGTGTCCAGGATCCCACAGTCTCTGCTGGACTGTTGTGCTCTTAGGTCCTATTGAGTTATCATAACTCATAGTGACCCTGTGAACAACTGATTGAAATCTTGCCTTCAGCAAGCCTTGCCACTTGTGTTTTCATTTATTTTTTTTACCCACCATGCCCGGCACCTTCTGTGATCTCTTGCAAAGTGGCAGCTGTGGTGGCTGGCTGGGCACCATCTAGTTCTGGTCTGAGTTGTGGGAGGTAAGGTTCAGGAGGCCCATTAATCTCCTTTGGACTAATTGTTTCTGTACGTCTTTGCTTTTCTTCTCTCAGTGTTCATGTTCTTAAGGGTCATGTTGTAGTGTGCATCAGGACTTTATCCCTGTTTATGGCTGATGTTTCTCCAGTGGGTAGGTCATGTTTTGTTTATGCATTCATTTGCTGATGGACATTTGGCCCGCTGTGGACACAGCCTCATCAATGGCGATTGTGAGGATGGTGCAGCACTGGGCAGGGTTCTGTTCTGTGGCACATGGGGTGGCTATGAATCGGAGCCCGTGCCACCTATCACCACCACTGACCCAAAGGATGGTGCTGTCCACCCCTATACCTCTAGCAGAAAGGGTATTGGTAGCCTTTCTTAAAGCTTAGAGCCCCACAACCCTATGGCGTGGCTGTGCTCTGTAACCCATGGGGCTACGAGTCAGAACTGACTAGATGCCAGCAGAGTCAGGTTTGAGACTGGAGGAAAAGTGGGATCAGTGTTTCTCTGGGGGCTGGAGCACTCTAGTTCTTGTCCTTCTAAGTCGGATTTTCTGTGTGACTACCTGGGAGCACTTCTGGCTCGTTCACTATGGTTCCTGCTGGCTCCTGGGTGGTCTGGGGCAGTTTTCCCCAGAGCTGGCAATGGGATACCAGCATCTCCAGTCCTCACTGGGTAACCCACTAGGCTCACTCCTGCTTAGGCTTACCACAAAGGGCCCAGTGTAGGCAGGCAGTGGGCTGATTGTGGTAGAAGACAAGGGAAGGTGGTTCAGAGGAGCTGGAAAAATAAGGGATGGAAGGGGGCGCTGAGAACAGGAACTGTGGTGTGTGCCCAAGGGTCTGGTACTGGAAGGAGGGTACCCAGGGAGGGAGGCTGATGTCCTCGGCTCAGGACTTACCAGTGAGTGGGCAGTGGCTGAGGTCTCTAGTAGAATGTGTGGTGGTTAGAGGGGTGTGTGGGCAGAATCAAGAGAGGGTACTCTTTTAGGAAGGGTCAGAGTGAACCAACCCATGTCATTAGCAGGGCCAGGGGAGCGAGCTGCAGATTGGGGTATGGGAGGGGGCTGTATGCAGAGACAGGAAGAGGGAACAGTGGTGCAGGTAGAATTTAGGGGACACCGCTGGGGGCCTGATCCTGGTGTGGGGCCTGCCACGCTGCTGTGTGGCTCAGCTGTCTGCACTGTGTCTGGTTCTTGGGATGTGGACCAGTGTGTGGCGGGTGCAGACGCCATTCTAGTCTCAGGTGTGAGGAACCATCACCCAGCAGAGGCTGGACTTGGGGAGCAGCAGCCCTGCCCTAGAGCTGGATTGGGGCCAGTGTCTCCTGGAGGAAGGCACCCCCTACCCTAGCTTGCTAAATTTGGTTGGAACTCCCTAAAATTGGGGTGAGTAGCAGGCTTGCTTTGGGGCCTTGGTGCTGTGCCTCTTTCACTCGAATGATGTTACTGTGTACAGACCTGTGTGCCTACACAAGGTGTGTCCCCAGGCAGGCTTGCATGCAGGGAAGGGGCCTAGAGAGCCGGAGGAACCAGCCTGCAGGCCTGATGGCAGCCTGGTGACCAGTCATAGCCTGTGCCCACCGGCAGGCTGTGGCCTCTTCTCAGGATGCACCCGGGGACCTCAGCTGGCTGGGTTGTCCATGCCGTGGGCTGCCCATGTCATGGGCTGCGGCCTCCTGGGGTGGATGTGCAATTGTGGGGTTCCCTGGGGCTGATCTGTCCCCATCTTCACACCGAGGCCTGAGGAGTGGTTTTAGGCAGCATTGCTGCTCTGTGGTCCCAAGGGAGCAGGGCTTCACCAGCTGGTCTCTGACCAACAGGAAGGTGGCCCTGGAGCTGCATGTCTAGGAGACAGCCATAAACACCCGTGTTCAGCTTTATTAGAAAATGAACTGGTAGCTAGGTCTTCACAAAGTGCATACTAGGATTAAAATACACCTCACGTGACAGAGAACCCTATACTCTTCTGTGGATAGGGGGCAGGGTGGGCTCATTGGTCCCCAGAATCCAGACATGCTGGGCTCTGACATCACGTCCATTTCTGCTCTGACCAATTATATGAACCCCCAGTGACGATCTGCACAGAATCACAGACCTGAAAATAAAGCACTGTGGGTGCCGGGGGCAGTGGCAGTGGTGACAGGCTGGCCTGTGCCCCTGGCCTGTCAGGGACATGCTTTCTGATGCTCTCTGGACATGCTCACATAGACCCAACACCACACCCTCTTCCCTGTAGGGCCCAGGCACCTGCTCCGACTCTCCGGCAAGTGCTTCAGCCTAGTGGAGGCCACGTGAGTGCTGGGTGGGGTGGGCAGCCCCCTGGTCCCCTGACCTGGGGCCCTCCTGACAACCGTGTGCACCCCCAGGTACAAGTATGAGTTCTGCCCCTTTCACAATGTCACCCAGCATGAGCAGACCTTCCGCTGGAATGCCTACAGTGGGATCCTGGGGTGAGCTACAGTCCCCTCTTTCTTACTCAAATGAGAATAGGTAGGGGTGGGGGAGTCCCAGTCTTGGATGGCCCCAGCCCTACTTGGGTGGTCCTAAAGCTCAAGGCCCCCCCCCCCGCCTGGTGAACACGAGTAGGGTGTGTGTGGCCTTCAGCACCCACTGCCTCCCCAGCATCTGGCATGAATGGGAGATCACCAACTACACCTTCTCGGGAATGTGGATGCGGGACGGGGACTCCTGTGGCTCCAAGAGCAGACAAACCAAGGTGAGGCCTGGGGGATAGGAGTGAGGGTGGGGATCTGGGACCCCAGCCACCTACCAGCTGCAACTGTGCCCCCAGGTGGACCTAACCTGTGGGAAGAGCCATAGGCTGGCCCAGGTGTCAGAGCCCAGCACCTGTGTGTACTCGCTGACCTTCGAGACTCCACTCGTCTGCCACCCCCATGCCATGCTAGGTGGGAGAAAGAACAGGGGTGGGACTCAGGACAAAGAGCTGGGACATGTCTGCAGTTCCCATGCTAAGTTGGGGAGTGGGTGTGGCCTGGGCTGGGTGTCCTGTTACCTCTGTACATGTGGGTGAGACACAGTAGAAGCAACCCAGTGCAGCTCCATCTCCTGGCCCCACACAGTGTACCCCATGCTGCCTGAGGCCCTACAGCAGAGGTGGGACCACCTGGAGCAGGACCTAGTGGATGAGCTCATCACTCCTCAGGTGAGCACAGGCGGGCATCCCCTCTCTGGGCACCGTTCAGACTGAGGGCTCCCACTTCCTCCTCCATCTCCAGGGCCATGCTAAACGACTGCGGTTGCTTTTTGAGGAGGCTGGCTACTTAAAGGCCCCAGAAGACACAACCCAGCAGGAAGGAGTCTCTAGGGGCCAGGCCTTTGAGACCCTGGAGAGCTGCAGTCAGGTAAAGAGCAGGCAGAGGTGGGAGATACACACTGATTATTTCGCAAATGCCTCACCCTGCACTTGTCCTAGGCGCACAAGGAGCTGGCCAAAGAGGTGAAGAGGCTTCAGGGGCTGCTTACCCAACACGGCATCCACCACGAAGCTGCAGGTGAGGACAGGGCCTTGGGTGTTCTCCTGCAGCTGCCATGGCCATATCCTGACCCTGCTGTCTCCACAGGCACTCCCAGCTCCCAGCATCAGGACCAGGTGACCTCTACGCAAAGCCCCCAAGCACAGCTGCACGGAGACCCGGGTTGGCCTGACAACACCTTATGACCGGCTAGGAGAATGAGACCCTCAAGGGGTCCACACCAAGACTACAGTGCATATTGGAGCCAGATGCTGGCTCCCGGGGCCAGCCCACTTCCCTGTTCTCAAAGACACAAACAGAACAAAGATTCAAGGTTTTAATGAATCCCTGGGCTGATAAAAATAACTCCAGGGTTGCTGTAAACCATCACAGAAATGCTATCATGTAAAAAATTTAAATGGGTTAACAGTTGAAACAAGTCACTACAAGTGTTATGATTCTGCATTACAAAACCACCTTCCAGTCATGGAGGTCAATTCAAATAGTGTGTCCTTCTAATACTGGGGTTCTGTCCATGCGGGATCAGGGTTCCAGCCCATGAACAATGTTGAAAGGACGGCATGGCTCAGCATGTCCCCCACTTGTGGCCAAGACTGTTCTTCTCAGGCCCTCAAAGACTGCAGGGGGCAGAGGCTGGGCGGGGCAGCTTTCAGCACCTTCCTCACTGCCGTGCTCCCCCCCTCAGCACCTCGTCCTCCTGAGATCCAGTGTCCCAAGGCCAGGGAGTAGAGGTGGAGCAACCCGAGGATCACGTCATAGCTACTGCCCCCAAATGCCTGTCTGCATCACCCAGGCACCTGGTTGAGGAGCTGAAAGCCCAACAGAGAGTGGGGACTCAGGTCCCCAGGACATACTGGGAAGCCCCACCCTGAGCACAGGCTGGAATGCACAGACAACTGACTGGAGCAGTTTGGACCCAAAGCTTCCTGTTCCTCTTGTAATTGGAAAACATCTAGCTAGAGATAACAAATACTGTCCCAGACAGGGACGCGAGTGCATAAATATTAATAAAAATAAAAGATTTCAACAGTCAGGACAGGAGCACAAAATAGACGTCTTTTCCGAGTTCCGGCTGAGAGATCGTCAGTATTACCATTAAAAACAGGGTGAGGGGCCCAAGGGGGACCCTCCTTTAAAACAACAGGACCTGGCTGTCTGCCTGGTCCCTCTTAGAAAAGGTTTTTAAACTTCTTCCTATATTAAATACATTCTAATTTGGTCACTGATAAAAATTCTTACCTAGTCACTTTGCACGTTTAAAAAATGCTATTAAAAGTCTTTGGCAAAGCCGGAGGCAGACAGAGAGGTGTTGCTGGTCACTCCCTGGCCACAGGGTCCAGTACCCGTGCCTGCCACTTGGGCAGGCTCTGAGATATTGATGGGGCAGCTGTGAAAGGTCCCAATAAACTGAGCTCTTTTGCTCCTTCAGGGTTTCTAGAGAAGATTTGGGTTAGTCTGGTCTCATGTGGGCCGCGCCCTGTCTTTGCTCATCATGTGCATGACCAGGGATCCTGGCAGCTGGGACAAAGTTACTTGTGAACTCCCACTGCCATGAACTGGGGCCCCTCTGCACAGTTACAAAGCACCATTGCCCATTGGACACAGCAGCTTTCAAAAGCCACAATGCTCGCTCCTGCCGTACCCTTATCTGTTAGACTGAACAGCCTTCTTTTCCAGGGATGGAAATAAAGCCAGTGAAGTTTGTTTACTTTGTGTTGCAAAGGCACAAGCACTAGGAAAAAGTGGCAACGGCTCACACAGCTGTACGAGCGTGCGGTGGTACTGCCCACAGGTACGCACGCAGGAGAATGTCCCTCCATAAAATCATGCACAGATGCCTCAGTGCCTCTGTGTCTTCCAATAATCACCTTCTACTTATAAATACTATTTACTTCATTTGAAAACTTTTAAAAAACCTAGCATTTCACTACTAGATAGATGCTCATTTGATAAGTCCTAAAACTTCAGAATATGAACTCTAATATAGTTACTATTACTATGAATTAAACAAAAACTGATAGGAAATCTTTTAAGTTCACAGTACACATATAAAGCTTCATATTATCGCATATTAAAAACAACCAACCTAGAAAGCAGCTTAGAGCAATTTTTAACATCTAACTAAAACTCCTCAGTTTACAAAGTGCTTTGACGAGACTCGGACTCCTAGCGATCCACAGTAGTGTCAGATTGCAGACCCTGGTGCCCTGCGCCCCCCTCACAGGAAAGGAGGCTCACCCAGCTGATGGTGAAAGGTTTTGAGGGCACCACCATGATGTAAGTACCACGCTGCTGTAACACACAAGGTGCATGCACTCATGGCCCAGTGTCCGGAGGTGAGCGGCACACCCGCAGGCTCCAGTCACCACTGCACCGGCTGGCTTTTGCAGAAGGAGCAGGCAGGTGCGCTGGCAGCACAGGGCTCACAGAGGACACGGTGCGGGCAAGGCCTCGGAGCAGCGCTGCGGGCCCGTTCCCGGCATGCCAGGCATTGCTTCGCCTGCAACTGGACAATGACCTATGGGGTGAGGTACCATCAGCAAGGGTGACACTGCCCATGCACTGCAACCCCACCCTTCCAGGCCGTGCTTGGCCCCTAGTGGTTGGGGGTGGACACTGAGCCCTCCAGAAAGGGCTGTCCACCACCAGCTACAGGGGAATTAGGACAGTAATGTGAAGACACCAGTGGCTATGCCCAAGGCCAGTCAGGCAGGGTGGTAGGCACGGCACCCAGGGTATAGCGTAGGTTAGAAATGGACCTGTGCCACCACAAGTCAGGAGGCAGCCTGAAGCACGGCTAGCCTTCCAGGGGTACAGAACCAGTTAGCAGAGCCCATCAGGGGCCAGGAGTGTGTCCACGGGAGGGAGAGGAAAGGCTGGACAGTGCCTAGATGGAGGTGTCCTTTGACAAGCGGTTTATGGGTGCTTTGTGCCACAAACTAAACAATAGTAGACAGTATGTCCCTTACATGCCAAAGCTGGCTGGAGTGGAAGGAGGTGTGGAAGGAGTCGTTCATGTCTTGATTCCCGAGTGAAGAAGCCACCTTCCATCTCAGAACACAACCAAGGCAAGGACCACACTTTCTACTTTTCTAGTGGACAGGAGTGCAAGGTGCATTGGCACATGACATGAGGACTCACCCCATCAACGGCCTCCAAGCCTAGGCGCAGGCGGCTTTGCAGAGAGTGCAATGTGGGCAGCGGTGCAGTGTCCAGGTCCCCACAGCTTCTCAAGCCGGGCAGGGCCGCTGCCAGCCCCAGCCCCTCAAGCTCCTCCTGCAGCTGCCGGCAGCGTGCTTCTACCTCCTCCTTTCGCTGCAGTGCCAGCTGTCGGTCACTGTCTGCCACCCGCGCTCGCTCCTTCGCCTCCTGTGCCTCGCGCTGCCACGCATCGCAGGCCTGGAAGGGCACCAGCTGGGGTGTGGGCAGGCCTGAGCGCATGTATGGGCGCACGTGGGTGGGGATCTGCAGTGTTGGGGTTTGTGCACAGTATGGGATTGACCATGCAGGGAGGTATAGTGAGTTGGCAGGCTTTGGGGGACACTGTTAGGATGCGGGGCAGAGTCGACTATGCAGTGCAGGGGGGACTTCTCAATTTGAGTACCCACCCCCACCACACCCTCACCTGCTTCACCTGCTGCCAAGATTCCTCCCATTGCCGGATCCTACGCTTGGCCTCATCCAGCTGCCTCCGGACCCGGGCTAGCTCTGCACTGCTGGGGCTCCCACCTGGACCAGCCGCCAGGATGGGAGAGGGGCTGGGGGAGAAACTGCTGGAGACGAAGTCCCAGATGCTCCCAGGTACACCATTCAGGCCTGTGAGAGATGAGGAGGGGCATGGCACGGATGGACTCCGAGGCCCGTGTGTCAGGAGACCGAATGCACAGCCTCCTCAGAAGTGAAAGCTGAGCAGTTTTTTAAATGAGCCATTTCAAACAATAAACACTGTCAAAGACCAAAATCCACTGTTGTAAATCAACTCCCGTTCAGAGACCTTGGAGGACAGAGTAGAGCTGCCTGAAGGTTTCTGGGCTCTAATCTTTAGGGGAGTATCATCGGAACTCCAGAGATGTGAAAAGTAACTTTAGAAACTCTTTTGCATCTCTGCTCTCCCCTTGCACCTGCAGTGGTGTTGGGCAGCCTTTCTGTGCCTCAGTTTTACTCAACTGTTAGATGGGACATGTTCTCACCTCTCAGTCCCCAGGACCCATCCCTCTGTACCCCCCGCCTCACCTAAGGAGCTGTAGGATGAGACCGATGAGCCCAGAGCCCCAGCTTCCGACTTCAGGGGTGGTGGGGGCTGCTGGGGGGGCGTCATGGTGGAGGAGACCAGCGGCCCCGAAAAGGACTGGGAGAGTGAGCTGAGTGGGGAGGTGGACAGTGATGAGGACGAGTGCAGTGAGGATGAGCGTGTCAGGGGGCCTGGGATGGTGACCGGCGCCGAGCCCCCCAGCAGTCTCTGACCTGTGGGAAGGACACAGGGAGAGGCTGGGGTCCTGTGCATGCCCCCCACAACCCCTCCCCAACTTCTGGTGGGACCTAAGTCAGACAGACTGATACAGCACCCCAACACACCCTGTGTGGGTCGCACACCACCACCGATACCCACAAACAAGCATGTTCATTTCTAAGGTTAGAGCACTGTCAGATCGCCTTTCAAGTGGGAAAGTTTTGGCAACTCGAAGTCTAGTGAGTTGCTAGGTGTCATTTTCCCATTAACATGTCCTCACCAGCTGTGTCCCATTTGGGTCAATCTCGCACTATTTCAAAGTGAGACAGTGGATAAGGATGACCAAAGTAGAATCAATGCCCTTGAACTGTGGCACTGGTACAGAATACTGAATCTACCACGACAGCCAAAAGAACAAACAAATCTGTTCCGGAGGAACTACAAGCAGGGTGCTCCTTATAGCAAGGATGGTGACACTCTGCCACACAGATGTGGGAGTATGCTGTTGGGAGGAGCCTGTCCTCAGGAAAAGACATCAAGCTGGGAAAGGTGGAAGGTCAGAAAATACAGAAGACACTCAATGAGATAAACTGACACAGTAATTACCACAATGGGCTTGAGCACAGTATACACAGATCATGGGGATGTTGCATGACAGCATGGTTTTAAGCTGTAACTTAGTTAACACCTAAAACCACCACCACCACAGTGTCAAAGGACACTATCTGCCCAGGGAAAAGCTCAGGAGGTAAAAAAGCTCAGAGGTAGAAATGCAGGCGAAAATGGAAATGAGAAATAAAGGGAGGAAGAGGGGAAAACGCCATTACAAAGCAACCCAAAATTCCCTTTTGGTGAGTCCACAATGACCCTCTTGACCCTCTATTGAGTTTCAGGGGCTGTAAATGTCTATGGGAGAAAACTACCTATTTTTCCTCCCAGGGGCGGCTGGTGGATTCAAACCACAAACCTCTTTGTTAGCAGTGTGACAGGTAATGTACCAAACCACCCTTGTTGTGTGCTGGCTGTCAAACTGGAACCGACCCATAGCTGCCCCTCCAGCAGGCTGTCAGAGGCAGCAGCACAGTGAACTGCATGGGAGCAGACTGCCCATCCTTGTCCCATGGAGCAAATGGTATCTTTGAACTGTGTATTTTGGGGACTGCAGCATAGCTTCTTACACCAGGCCACCAGAGTTCCCTATTATGCCACTAATACTGTGTACATCGAGTTAGAATCAACCCATAGTTGACCCTCCAATGGGTTTTCATAGGCATTTTAATTTCATGGGAGACTGCCCAACTTTCTCCCACAGAACAGATGGTGGATTTGAACCAAGTGCCTTTGGGATGGAAGTACAGCTCCTTACCACTAGGCCTCCTTTAATAGATTATAGTCTAGTGTAGATGTCCCTGGTCTCCGCACTGGGAAACAGGTGGTATGACTGATTAGCTTAACTCCTTTTGTTATGCTGCCTGGTACCAAACCAGCTTGATCTCTCAGGACTGCTGGTATAATTCAGTCATGAAATAGGACTTTGTGATTTTTCTTATGAGGATACTCTGCCTGGGAAGGGACAGTATGCTGGATATGTGCAGAGACCACAGGGCAGGAGGAGAAAATGGTTGCCAATGGAGTTGACATGAAAGGAAGTGGGCTTGGAGCTGGAGACCCTCCCTCCTGCCCCAAGGAGTCTGCAGGCACCATGCCAGCTCAAGGAAAATGAAGAGAGATATAAGAAGTGACCCTCCCAGCGGCTTACTCGTCAGCCCGTGGTCGTTGTTATCGTGGTCTTCCAGGCCTTTCTCTAAGGAGGCGATGTTTAGGTCACTAAAATGGAGATCTAGAGCCGAACCTGTCAAACAAAACCCATGTTACCCTCTTGACCTCGGGCCAGCAGGGTGAGCCTTTGTGAATGTCTGAAGACCTGGACTGTATCTCCTGGGCAAATTCTGAGCATCAGAGGTAAGGCTGGTGGGCACCCGAGGAGACACTTTCCCTCAGTGTGCCCACTGGGGCCACTCTGACAGCCCGACAATTCCCGAGATGAGGTTATGCAACCTGCACCCACCAATAACTGACCATCTCACCATGTTAAAACCTGACCAGCGGCCACAGACAACTACAGATGGGTACATTTCCCAGAAAGTGGTTTGGATTTAGAGAAGATGTAAAGGAGTCCTGGGAATGCCAATATCACAAATCCAGACAGGGACAGCTGACCAGGACTATGACTGAGACCCCAAACTCACGACACCCTGGTGCCTCCTCTCTCGGGAGGCTGTAGCTTCCCCTGTTCCCTCCCAGGCCCAACCATGGAGCAAGGCCATGCATTCTTCTACCTTTAAGAACCTTCTGGGTCATAGCTGTTACTGTTCTAGAGTAGGGTCTTTCGTTGATCAGGGTGGTGGGGGAGGTGGGAGGGGGAGCCCTGCTGCACCTTTATCTGCCCGTAGTATGAACAGAGTCCTTGCCTTGGTAGCTGCTCACTTCCCGAAGCACACCCATGAACTTTTTCCTGTAGGTCCAGTGGGGAGCGCCCACCTTCCCCTTCAAACTCCTCCTGGGGGCTCCTTCTTCAGAGTCCCTAGTAGGCAACAAGCCACCCAGCACCAACTGTCACCCCACTGGCATGCAATCCCCTCCCCTGATGCACTGCAGACTCTGAACTGGAGTAAGTCAGTGCCACACAGTCTGCTCAGGAAAAGTGAGACTTGGGGTCAGCATACCTGCTCCCCTAGAACCTGCATCCAAACTCGGCCTCTAGGGCAATGGTGGTGGGATTCTAAGAATACATCATGTAGGATCTCAGCTGATTCTATCCCTGCAGAACTGGCCATATGAGAACAAATGGGCAACATTTATGCAGGGAGTAGGCTGAGCAGACAGGAATGAAGGATGAATGAAAATGAGAATCACAGGGAAGAAGCGGAAAGTATGCTGCTATATTGCTGGAATTGCAAGATGCAGAATTTGTGATAACAAAAAGTGTATGAGCTGAACAGAAAAGCAATTTGCTCTATAAAATTCCACACAAATCATAACAACCCACAGCTGTCGAGTCGATTCCAACTCACAGCTACCCTCCATTACATTTCTAAAGCTATAAACCTCCCCTCACAGCAATTGGAGGATTCAAACTTTGGAACCTTTTGGTGGGAATTCCTCGACGTATAATCTACTGGGCCACTAGGGTTCCTTTAAGTCACAATAAAAATGAGAAAACATTAACAATGAAACACCCCTCCCCTTGTAGGAGGTGGGATCTCTCTGGTCACCCCTACCCTCTACCCTGGCTCAGGTCCTGAGGCCCACAGTGGGTGACTGCGACATCTATCCCCAGTAGTCCCTGTACTCGTGGGACCTCAGACCCCTATCCTCTCACTGGGACACTTGAGGACTAGCCTGCACAGCCCCCTGGCAGTCTGGCCCAAGCGCCTCTGGAGACATGGCCACATTTAGCCACTTGAGCATGTATTCAGTTCTAGAGCCTTCCTGCTGTCTCATATCCTATGACTGCACTGAGCAGACAGCAGGCATCTCTCTGGACCCAATCACCTCAGCGCAGCATGGTAAAACCTCTCAGTAAACAGAAGGAGGCTGCACTGCCCTGAACAAACAGCCTGAGGAGAAAGACACTGCGTCCCCAATGTCCATCACCCATGCATCTCCCCTCTCTTCTTGCAGACTGTCCCTCAACACTCCAGGAGTGGCTAGCTGCAATGCCAACTCCCCTCTGCCACTGCTCCCTGCCTGCCTGAACAGCCTTTCTCCTTTGTCAGTCATGACCCTTACCCCACTTTGTCAGCTGAGAACAGTCCCTGATAGTTCTGAGAAAAGTCCCATTCAGCCTCCAAAACCTACTCTGTTGAGCCTCTGCCCTGCTCCTGCCATTGCAGACAGACTCACCCACAACTGTCCCTGCCCCCCTCTCTGGCCAGGAGTCCCGGCTCAGATTGGCAACAGCCACTAAGAGGCCCTGGAGGCCAGAGGCTGACACCGTTGAGTTCAGAAACAATTCTGAACGGAGGACAAAGGATGACCAGGAAGGGGACATACAGGAGCCTCTTCTCACCCTGAGTTAACTGTGCCCTAGACTCAGCATGGGAAGTGCTGCACTGCTCACCCTATTGTTCCCCCATCACTTCTTCCTTTCCCCACATCTGATCCAGGAAGAGCCACTCAGGGTCCCCTAGGAGATGAGGTCCCTTTAGGGCAGAGGCCCTGACCTCACCAACAGACAGTGCCTGAAGACACCTGTCCCAGTTCCAAGGAGTTACCTGTGGCACAGTTATTTGGAAACAGCACTCATTTCCCAGTGGAGGACCTGGAAGGAAGGCAAGAGACCCTGGATGCCCTCACCACCCAAACAGTGTACCTTCTGGATCTGTGTGCTCTCTGCTTGCACACCTCACAGCCCCCAAGACCTGTCCTGTCCCAAGTGGCCTGCCTCTTGGGGAAGCTGGAGACCCAGAATTAGGTAAGCAGTTATGTAAGCTGCAGGTCAAACTGCCCATTGGGCATGAGACTGCTGAGTTGCTGAGCAATGGCGTTGGCCTGGCTTGCTCCAGAGTGACAGGCCCTCCCACCCCTGGGCTCTGAGGACCCACAGGGGCAGGGCAAAAAGTGGCACAGAAGACAGACTCCAGGTCAGACTAGACCAACCTTTTCCTTAGATCCTCAGCCCACCAGCTCTGGCTTCAACTTCTGGGGAAGGGAGAGCAGAAGAAACCTGCACCCGATGGGAGGACATCCCTGATGATCAACCCTTACAAAGACCCACCTCACCAAGAAGCCCTGGGGACAGCTGTCGGGTTACCGCCCTAAGCAGCCTCAGGCCCTTCCAAGTAACCACTCAGTTCTCACCTGGGCACGTGCCTGGAGATGATGGTGGGGGAGGGAGAAACCAGACTGCTGAAGGGGGTCAGGGCGCGGGCGGGGTGGAGGAGGGAGGCAAGGGTTGGGGCGTGGGCTGGGTACCAGTAGAAGGCAGAGGAGGTCAGGGCCCAGTAAGGAGGTCCTGGTGGAAGCAGGGACGCTGGCAAGGGATCAGGTACTGGCGGGACTCAGGAAGCAGTTGAATGCGGGGTGAAGGTGCGGGCGAGAATCAGGGTGCAAGTCAGTTGTTGACAGAATCCTCGGAGCTCGTAAGCACGTACGGGTGCAGGTCTTAAAGGGTAAGAGCTGCGTCTTCCAGCTTGTCAGTCGAAACGCACCCGAATGACCTCGCCGCGCGTGAGCTGGGTCCAGCGCGCAGAGCCTGGACGTCCTCTCGAACCCACCTGCCCGCGCCGCACCTGCAGCCGCACAGCGAGCTGCCCCGCACGATGCTGACTCACCATCACCCGCCCAGCGCCACCGCCGCTGATTCAAACCCTCCTGGCCCCGCCCCACTGCCAGGCCCGCCCCGTGACGCACGCACCGCCTATCTGGCCCGCCCCGGTGACGTCAGCGCGTGTGCCTCGGTCCCCTCGCACAAGATGTCGGAGCGCTTCCCAAGGAGTGGTTGGTGTTCGCTAGCCCCACACTGAGACCCACCCACGGCCCACGTGGATCCCTGAGGAGCCTGCAGAGAGCCCACGATGCCCCACGGCGTGTCCTGACGAGCTGCAATAGGCCCCGATCCTCTCACATGCCTTGAAACGCAGCAACCCTGTGCGGAGCAAAACGCAGGCCTGCTTGCGAGCCCATTGCCTTGCATTAAAATAGTCAAGACCTACGAACAGACGTGACCCAAACCTCGCTACTCCTTGACGACCCCAACCCTCCCCACAGAGCCCGCCCTGCCCAGGCCACGCCCTTTGCGGCAGCTCTACTCAGACCCTCCCTTTGCGCCAGGTCCCCTCTCGCCCCGCCCCTTGCAGCAGCCCTCCCCGGCTCAGGGGCTAGGACACCCCGCCTTGGTCCTCCGCTAGTCCCTCCTCTTGTGGAAGTCCCCCAATCCCTGGCGGTAGGCCCCCCTAGTCCCGCCTTTTCTTCCGCCTCTTGTGGCAAGACTCCCCACTCTTGCACCGCTCTGGAGGCAACACCCCCGAGATCCTATGCAGAAGGCACGCCCTCACCCCGCCCCTTGCGGCAAGTCCCCCTCTCACCCGACCCCGTGCGTAGGTGTTCCCTTAGTCCCGCCTTTGCCCTGCTCCTTGCGGCAGATCCTCCCCACTCCTAGCTTGTGCCTTGTGGCAGGATGCTCCTTATGCCCTGCCCTGTGGCAACCCCCCCCC